GCTTTTGGTTACATATTTTCTTCTAAAAGTTTATAGTTTTAGGCTATACACTCTGGCATATAATCTGTTTCAAGTTAATTTTTGTGCGCAACTTTTTTTTTTCTTTCCATACAGATATTCTACCCTTTCTGCCACTGAATTACCTTGGCACTTTCACTGAAATCAACTGATCAAATATTTGTGAGTGATTTCTGGACTCTATTCTGTTCCATTGATCTATATTTCCGTCATTACACAAATTTCACATTGTCTTCATTACTGCAACTTTATAACAAGTATGGAAATCCTTAGTGTTAAATAACTCCCTTTTTTTTCTTCTTTTTCAAAAATTTTTTGGCTAGTTGAAGTTCCAGGTTGCCTCTTCGTTTTGTAAATAAAGTTTTATTGACATATGGCAATACCTGTCCATCATGCATGTTCTATGACTGTTTTTGAACTATATTGGTAAAGACGAATAGTTGCAACAAGAATAGTGGAGACTGAAAAGTGTAAAATATTTACTGTCTGGCCATTTAGAGAAAAAGTTTCCTGGCTCCTGGCTTAGCTCCTTGCTTTACTATATAAACTTTGGAATTATCCTATTAATTTGTACAAAACAAGTCTACTACAATTTTGATAGGGATTGGGCTGAAGATATAAATCCATTTGAGAAGAACGGCCACTTTAACAATAGTAAGTCTTCCAATTCATGAATATGGTATGTGGTTCCCCCCGCCCCCGCATTTATTTAGATCCTAATTTGTCTCAGGACTACTTAATGTATTTCAGCAAACAGGTTGTTCCCATTTGTGGTAAAATTTATTCTTAGATATTTTATTCTTTTTAATCAGTTCAGTTCAGTTGCTCAGTCGTGTCCAACTTTTTGCGACCCCATGGACTGTAGCATGCCAGTCCTCCCTGTTTTTAATACTATTGTAAATTAAATTGTTTTCTTAATTCTATTTTCAGATCATTCATTGCTAGTACATAAAAATATAACTGATTTTATATTAATCTTGTATCTTGTGACCTTCTTGAATTCATTATTCTTTAAGTGCTTTAGAGGTTTATTAGTAATTTTTACATGCGTAATCATGTCATCTACAAATAGACAATTTTTGTTCTGCCTTTCCAATCTGTAAGCCTTTATTTTTCTTGCCTTATTGAATTGGCTTGACAGTAAAATGTTTATTAGAAATAATGAGAGCAGTCATCCTAAGCGGATTCCAATCTTAGGGTAAAGCATTCAGTTGAGTGTGCTATTATTATTTAGAGGCTTCTTGTGGATTTTTTTAAAAAAAATCAGGTTGAGAAGTTCTCTTGTATTTCTAGTTCTTTGGGAGTTTTTATCATGAATGAGTGTTGGATTTGTCAAATTTCTTTTCTGTGTCTATTGTTATGATCATTTGCCTTTTCCCTTTATTAATATGATGCATTACAATGATTCTTAATTGAGGGGTTTGCTCCCAGAAGAGACATTTGGTAATGGCTGGAGATATTCTGGTGGCTTCCCAGGGGGTGCTAGTGGTAAAGAACCTGCCCGCCGATGCTGGAGATGTAAGAGGCGTGGGTTCTATCCCTGGGTCTGGAAGACCCCCTGAAGGGGGACATGGCAGCCCACTCCAGTATTCTTGCCTGGAGAATCCCATGGCCAGAGGAGCCTCACAGGCTACGGTCCATAGGGTCACACAGAGTCGGACACGACTGAAGCGATTGAGTATGAGCATTGTGATTTTTCTGCCTTACCACAGTTTTCTTCTTGATCTAATGCATTTTCTGTCTGGAGGATTTTTTATGTTGTTGATCTTTTCAAGAAGCAAGTACTAGTTTCAGGGATTTTTTTTTCTATTATTTTCCTGGTATCTATTTAACTATGATTTTTATTTCCTCTTTTGTGTTATATATTCTTTTTTCTTTCTAGCTTTAAAAGAAGAAACTGTAGATGATAGATTTTTTTCTTCCTGTATAATATAAACATTTAAAGTTATCCACTTCCTTCTAGGCACAACTTTGCTGTAGCTAGTGGTTTTTATGTAGTTTTTACTCATATTCAAGATATCTCCTAATTTCTCTTGTAACTTATTTTCTGACCCATAACTTATTTAAAAATGAGTTGTTTAATTTCCAAAGATTTAAGATTTTTCCAGATTTCTGTTGGTGATTTCCAGTTTTATTGTACCTAGAGAACATATTCTGGATAATTTGAACACTTTTTCATTTATTAAAACTTACTTATGGCACACAATATGGTCTGTTATTGGAAATATTTCATGTGTACATGAACAGACTGTTTATTCTGCTGCTGTTGGGTGGAATGATCTATAAATTTCAATTTCGTAGAAGTGGTTGATAGTGTTGTTCAAATTGTCTATATTCTTACTCATTTTTGGTTTCCATGTTCAATCATCTCTTAAGAGATGGGTATTGAGATAACTGACTTTAATGGCAGATTTGCCTTTTTCTTCTTCCAGTGCTATCAGGGATCCTCTTTATCCATCTTTGTCATTATTCAGTGAACATCTCTATCTTTGACAATGTTCTTTGCTTAGAAGTCTGACATTTAGTCACTCCAACTTTCTTTTCATTGTTAAGATGGTGTATCTTTGTCCATTTTATTAGTTTTTACTGCTGCATAGAAATAGTTTGTCTGGTGGCTCAGATGGTGAAGAATCTGCCTGCAATGAGGGAGAACCAGGTTTGATCCCTGGGTTGGGAAGATCCCTTGGAGAAGGACATGGCAATCCACTCCAGTACTCTTGCCTGGAGAATTCCACAGACAGAAGAGCCTGACAGGCTACAGGCCAGGGGATCGAAAAAGAGACGGACACAACTGAAGTGACTTAGTGCACGCACACACACACAGCTGCATAAAAAATTACCCCAAAGTTAGCAGCTCACAACACTTTACAGTGTTGTCACAGTTTCTGTTAAGAAATTTAGACACAACTTAGCTGAGTTCTCTGCTTAGAGCCTCTCACAGACTGCAACCAAGGTGTTGGCTGAACTCTAGTCATCCCAAGGTCCAACTGGGGAAGGATCCGCTTTTAAGCAGACATGATTGTTGGCAGGGTTCAGTTCCTGGCAGATTGTTATTCTGAGAGTCTGTTCTGTGCTGTCTATTGGCACTGGGCTTGCCTCAGATCCTTGCCCCAGGGGCCTATCCAACATGGAAGCATGCAAGCAGAGAAGTCTAAGATAGAAGACCCCATTTTTTAGCCTAACCATCCCTTTTGTTGTATCCTGTTGGTCAGAAGTAAGTCACTAAGTTTGGTCCACACCAAGTCCAGCCCAGTCATAATGACACGAACACCAGGAAGCATGAATCCTTGGAGTCTGCTCTGTGCATCTGCGTTGAATCTGAGGTCTTTATGGACCCTTCTGGGAATGTCAGTGTTTTCCTGCTCTTTTGCCTTGTGGAGCTGAGAGGTTCTTTTTTTCTGAGATTTTGGTCTCCATCTGCTGGTGGCACCTTCTCTTGCTTCCTGGCACTGGTCATTTCACCAAACTTTAGGGAAGAAAATAACTCAGCTGAGGCACAGAGAGGAAGTAACTTCCAGTGGAGTTGGAAAGAATGTCGCCGCGGTAGAGGGAGAACTCTTTTTAAATGTAAGCGACAAATCCCTCAACGCTTCTGATTGTTTCCAAGCTCTCTTTTGGAAAGGCACAGCATGTGGACCGAAAGAGTCTTGAGAATAAAGGCCTTTTTAAGTCAAATTCTGCCAATTATGAAAACTGCTCTGAACAGTGATAGATACCCTGTATTGTGGTATTACTCAGGATATTCTTAGTTACTGGTAGTTGTACCTTATCTATAAGTAAGATTAAGTTATATAGACTTTAAACCTTAAAATGATTCAGAAAAAAGACATTATATAAAGCATTCTGAAGATTACCTTTTATGCCATTTACAGTGTGAAGACCACTCCTAGCTATCTTTACTTTCCAACATCTTTTCCTGAGCCTGCTCAAATTCCAGCTTTAGGATTGTAAAGTTCTGATCATCACTTAGCAAAGATCCATTCCCTATCAATATCCTACTTTAAATCTGGCAATGACAATTTGCAAACATCTCAATCCAACACTAATTTCTGGTCTTCATTGTTTCTCCCTTAAGTGTTCTTCTGAAAACACCAAAAGGGAAGCTAATGCCACGTGGCCTTCTAGACACAGCCCCAGTGGCTCAGGGGTAGAGCCCACCCGCAATGCAAAGCAGGAGCCACAGGAGACACGGGTTCGACCCCTGGGTTGGGAAGACCCCCTGAAGGAGGCCACAGCAACCCACTCCCTATTCTTGCCTGGAGAATCCCATGGACAGAGGAGCCTGGTGGGCTACAGTCCACAGGGTCCCAAGAGTCAGACACGACTGAAGTGACTTAGCATGCATACGTATAGAAGCATTCCTCTTAATGTTTACCCCCAAACCACAAATTTACTAGAATTTATTGCTGCTGAACATCCCTTCACTAAGGCAGCTAATCAGGATTTAAACTGGTAGGAGTTACATGAACCTTCTTCCCTGAGAGCAGTGATGTACTACCACAAACACATAAAAAAATGAAGTAGTTTCTTGTAGACATTATATAATATAGCATGGTTTCACAAACTTTTCTGTATTCACTTACTCTGTAATCTTATGAATGATGTGTCTATAATGAATGTCAAAGTTAAAAAACACACATTTTCTTCTGTTTCCTATAATCAGAATGTATTTGTCGTTTATTTTGGGAAAGCACGAGAGAGAGAAATACTCCTTTGAGTTCTAAGTCAGATTATTCTTTTTGAGGAGACGCCGCCACCCCAGTGTTAAATGATCAGCAGTTAGTAATATTCATAGATAACACTCTTTTCATAGCAGGAAGAAACATTAAAAGAATACAATGTGTTTAATAGCTAAACCTGGTACTTTAACCAAAGTACTTGCAATATTCTTAATATAATTGAAGATCACTACTGTCAGGTATTTTTTTGCTTGTTCTCTACATCTATTCCTAAAAAGAATGTAGGCCTATATTAAGACAAAATTTGACATTCTTTCATTTTATGTTATATTTTACTCACTTTATTGTAAGATTATTCAGAAAACGTTTCAATAGTACCCTATCTTTACCTCCATTAATATTACAGTGGAATTAACTCATATAGAAAAAATATTTTTTCATGAATAGTAACAGATGTGTCAACAGCGTGATTTATTTTTAGTTAGGTAATGAAAAAAATACTTGGGTGTAGATTTTTTTTAATTGATAAAATCTGAAATTAATGAAATGGTCATTAAAAGATTTTTAAGTTTTGCTTTTTTTATAAAAATCAGTATTTAGAATTTCACAGTGAAGAGGTCCTAAATTTCTCATACAACATGAAATTATATAAAAATAGAAGACATAGACATCTTTAACTCTTTAATCCTTTGATTAAGCAGCAAGCATATCACTCTTCCAAGCCAAACACTGCTTAAACAAAAAAGAAAAATAATGACGTGCAAAATATTTACAAAATATGCAAAGCACACAATAAAGACATCTCACTATATACATGTGTCATATTACTAATGAAGCTAAGAATTTTCTACTGTGTGCTCTAGTGTACGGAAATAAAATCACAGCACAGCCCTCAGATACAGCACCTTTGCTCATGGTTGGGATAGAACGGATTTTAAATGAACCACAACATACTCAACAGCTGGACAGATGCTGGTGCTGACCAACTTGACTCACATATCCCACACACCGTATACTGAAGGTCTACTGACAAGAGACAAGACAATAGAAACTGTATAGTATGCACATATGCAAGACAATCTAAATACTTTAAAAAATGCTTTAGATATTTTCCTTTAAGATATATAACTGTCTCCATGGCTATTAAAGTAAAAATAAGTATAAATTCTTGAATATTAAGAATTTTAAATCAGGATGATCCAGTGAGAAAGAACACATTCTGAAAAAAGTTTTTAGATTATGCTAGAACTTAAGGTCCTTATAGAAATAAATGGTCTGAACTTCAAAAGGAAAACCAATTAAGGGATGTAAGTCAATAGCTCTTAAACGCTTTAGAGCCAAAGGTAGGGGCTATTTTTCTAATATCTGGAGACTATGACATCTCAAAATATAAACTAGGGCCTCTGATGTTGACCATTTTGTGAAATAGCTCTAAATGCAAGAATGTGAATGTGCAAACATATATCTTTCGTTCCACTAGTACAGCAATCTAAGCAATCTGTCCCTTTGCACGGGCAGGTCATGATTCCAATATGAAATCACTGTATCAAAAATATTAGTAACACACTGCTGAAATACCATCACTTGTAAAATATTCTTTGTAGGTGCTTAATGGTTATGTGCTGAATTGAGAAGACTTGAGATATTTTTGTTTCTTTATAAAAAGGGTCTCAGCATTTTAACAGCACAGTTGTGACAATATACTGATTTATCTTTGGATAACACAGAACAAATTCTTAAATTTATTTTATGAAATAATGATGATTTAACCCTAAACCAAACCCATGAGTACAGGTCAGCTGCAAAGAATACACAAATGTATCCAAATAGTACAATAGAGATTGATCAAGAAAACATCTTTTATATTAAATGCAGACCATATTAATAAGTATGAGGGCAATTTAAAGTTCAGAACCTAAACACAAAAAAGGTATTGTAAATAAATGCTTCCATAACCACTATTTCCACATAACTGACAAAATATAACTCTCTTCTAAAGTCCCCAAATGGAGGCAACTACTAGTTAAAAGCAGATAGCATTTAGAAACATTAAAAAAAAAATTAACATTAACTCCATTTTCAAGGAACTTAAAGACACTGTACTTTAACAAATGAAGTCCTCATTGTATGTAAAATAATTATTCCCATCCTCTTACTACTGAAAGATGGCAAGTCAATGACCTTTAAGCAAGGACTTTGCACTAGGACCCTAAACTGTATGTTAAAGGGTTAGTAGGTTCAGTACATTCTTTGTGATTTCATATAATTGCTTTGCAATTGATAAAATTGCTTTCTTTTAAAGGAATATATTTAAATTCCTTTAGAAAAAAAAGCAAGTCTTTGAAAAAAGGGATATGCAGCTATCATTTCTTAAATATGCATTAAATGAACATACATCAAAATCTGAAATGCAGGTTATCTATTCTTGCACTCCTAACATAGGAAAATGTTGTTAAAAATTAAATTAAAGAAAAAAGAGAAATAGTCGAACATCCTTAACTTATGAAACTTAAGGAGTTTTCACAATTCCTAAGTCAATATTCCTGTACTAAGAGCCTTGACTATGAAGAGGCAGGAATATAAAGATTCTCAATAAAATAAATACAGTAAAAACAAAACAAAAAAACCTCAGTATATAGAATACTTAATCTCTTTTCCTTTAACGAGATCATGTCACTGAATGTATATTCTAGAAAGGAGGCTAACTGTAGGCCTTCTGTTGTATAACATTTTAGTTGCATGAACTAAAAAATTCCTTAGACATCCACTTATGAGAGCCCACTGGCCACAGAACTAGTCTGCAGACGCAGTGTCTAGAAGGATTCTTCTTCCCTCTTTTGCACCAACAGTCAGAGGGGCACTGGTGTAATGACGGGGTGAAGTTACTGCAGCTCTGTCCAAGTTAACTCTAGTGCAGTGAGGACTGTGAATCTGTCTGAATTCCGATAAGTGATGGTGGCTGTTGGCCACCAACCGCGGACAACACTGGTCTTGGATTGAGACGGGGTGGCATGGAATTAGCAGGGCGAATGAGAGGTGGCGGGGGCTGGTTTAAAGTTGGCCGGGGCTGGATGAACCGAGCCTGCTGCTGGAGTGGAGGAGGCTGCCGGTGAAGAGCCGGGGCAGCAGGCAGTGTTGGACGAAGAAGTGGGGGCGGCTGGTTCAGAGCGGCCACGGGGGCTGTTGGTGTTGGAGTGGATGACGGGGCAGGAGGTGACGGACCCAGAGTCCGAGGAGCCTGTGGGGTCTGTGCCTAGAGGTGAGGAAACAAAAATACACGTATGAGATGACAGTTCCTAATGGACGTAGTACAATATAGTTTGGGCTGTCACAGGAAAAACAAAACAAATCAAATCAAAACAAAAACATAACACCAGTGTTTTTTGGAAGCACAAGCTTCTTTTATTTTAAACAAAACAAACCAAAAAAAGCAACGAAGCTACCAAACAGGCATCTTTATTAGTAAACAGCTTAACACTGGAAATAAAAATAAATGTATGAAAGAACAATACACTCTCCACTCTTCCAGGATCAGCACTTAGCGTGTCATTATGACTTAAGTCACAGAGAGGCACCACTGAGGAAGTGTATTGTCAACCTTTCATGCTCATTTAGCTAGTCCTCTGACAAATTAACCTTACAGAACACCACACGAAATGGTGGTTCCTCAGCTCATATTAGCTCAAATTCCATACACAAACACACCTCCTCTTCTTCATCAGTGCTCTTCCCTGATGGCACATTAGAAGCACTTTTTGTCTCCTCCCCTAAAGTAGAAGCATCACCATTAGAAGCCTGGGTTCCTTGTTCTGCTTCCCACTCCTGCAATACCTCCTCTAAGTTAAACCGACGCCTGTAGTTTACAAAGAAGTTCTTCACTTGGCCAACAGTCTTGTTGCCAATTACATCTGCAATAGCTTGAAAATCTTTACCATATTTGCGGACACCTGGAAGGCAAAGTAAATAATACACCTGTGAAGGATCAGTAAGGAGAGCTGTGTGTACTATACATCACGCACACACACAACATACCAGCAATGAAAACCCTTTCTGATAAACTGCTCACGTCTCAATTCTGAGATAGAGACTAAGATATCAGGGTCACAGATGGAAACTATCAATTATGTCATTTCATCGAGCCAGCCACTTGCCTTCAACTGAACAATCAGAAACTTACCATTTTTTACATACTCAGTTATTTTCTCCAATCCTCTCTTGAACTCTCAAATACAGTCCATTTATTGTAAAGCATTGAATTCTTTGTTCCATCCTCAATTCCACATTCATTTATTTCCCTAGTAGCCAGTCACCTAAATTTGAGCAACATCGTTTGTAAACAAAACTGGATGGGAATGAGCCATCTCTTTTATCCCCTCAATGGACTGAGTGAGTAGTCTTAGGGTTCCCCCGTTAAGAAAAGCATTGTGATTTTGATCTTAACACCAACTTCTATACAGTTACTTGCCTATCCGTACTAGGTACTGACAAAAAAAACCGAGATAAGAAATTAAACATAAAAAACAGGAGAATCATCATAATCTGATGGACGAAAAAAAGAAAGCTATTTTTCAGTTTGTTGGATTTTAACTCATCTAATAGTTCTAAGGACTGTATATATGACAGATTCCTAGCTATGCTCTGTAGCCTAAAGAATTATAGTGGTGACTACTTGTAGATACTGTGCTTATCATTGCTACCTTAAATTTAAGAAGGATTGTACATTCAGTTATATAAAAGACCTAACTTATATAAAATTATGGAAGTTTCTTTAAATGTAGGATAATATTTGATTTATGAACTTGAGACAGTCAATTATGTTACAGAATTTAAAGTGACTTTACATAATCAAATGGATAATAATTTGCTCTTAGGGAGTTCTAAAAGAAATCCACCCTACTCATTCTAGAAAGAGATATACCTAGCTTAAAATATAAAAGCTGTCAAAATTTTTATTTTGTAATTTGATAACTGCTTTTTAAAATACCAGATAACAGTAACTCATTAATTAGAGATGAGAAAGGAGAAAAAAAATACTGATGTCTATGATAATCTAAGCAGCCAGAAATAGAGGGATTTAGATAAACTTAACATGTTACAATCACACATAAGAGCATAACATAAGGACACATTAATACCCTGGCAGAAATGCAAGACATATTCTTACTGATACCTATTTGGATGATATACCTATTATCTTAAAGATCCAGCATGAATATAATTCATGTTTTTAAATTCTGCACTTACTTTATATTGAAAACTTGGGAATAAGTATCTCTTGCTGCATTCAATTTGCTAGACTTGACTCTACGGGGAGTTTCTTCCTCTTAGAACATTCTGGGTAGGAGGCCTGACATATTAAACTATAACCCCATTGTTAATACAGAGTCCAGGATTTGTAAACTATGCTCATTCGCTCTGTTCTCAAAGAGAAAGACACGTGCGTGACAATAGGGTAATAATGATACTTAAAACTTTGTTTACAACATTTTATATTCATTTAAAACAAATGAATTTATATTCTCTTAAATCCATGAGCTGATTTTCAGTTTGAACTTCATAACTGAGTATAAATTCTAATGGTGACTAGGCTCCAGTGAGGGTTTATCTGACAATAAGAACCCAAGGTCACTTCATATTAAAAATTACTGCTACATATTCAAGTACTTCTCTACTATTTGTACTTTAGAAAACAGCAACTCAACTTGAGACAGTTGCACTGAGAAGCAAATACTAACTGGAAATCACACACAGTGTTCTACCAGTGTACTAATATTCATAACAGATTTAATTTACATTCTAGAAATGACCAAAGATACCAAACACATGAATTTAGAAATGAAAACTTAAATAAATCTAGGATTAGATCTTCTATATTCTTAAGAAGAAGTCACATTAAGAGTAACTCTGACTCTAAGTCTGACAAAATTACAACCCTCCAAACACTCATTTGTTCAGCAAAATATACTCCAAGACACACCACTAAGTTGCCCCCATGGTTTTCCACTTTATTTTCCCTTGCTCAATGGACTTCACCTTGTCACTAATATTGTTGCATTTCCAGAATTACATGCCCCAAACCAAAACTACTTCCTACAGGAACTTTAGTTTACTCAGACACTTTGGATTTTCCTCAGCTCACCTAGGTTCTGAGTCACCTAGGTAAGTTTATTAACTCATGTATGTTTGTCTCATATCAACTACTTTGCAAAGTGTTTAGGTTCAGACTATACTGCAGACTTCTGCAGTCTGGCTAAGGATCTCAATCACGTCCTGAGAATAAATGGGCCTGGATATTAGTGCCCTTAATCTGCAGGATGCCTGGGTCGTATGTGGAAGAGCTAGAGCTCCTTGGCAGACTCCTCTGGACAGACAGCAGCCTCATCTGCCTGTCTCAGTGGGTCATGAAAAATCTCATCATTTTCTCTGTATGCCATGACGTGAACAAGGTTGGAATACAAATTACCACCAGCATTACTACAATGCTGAGTACAGAGGAAGTACTTAGGAAATACGATTGATTTTTTTTTCTCCATGGAGCTTCATTCTATTATTCTTCCCCAAGCTACAAGAGTCACACCTGGCTGACATCTTTATCATTTTTACATTCCCAGTGACGTCACTCAACAGCATATTTTGGTGAGAAGGTGGAATTCTTAAGCTCTGTACTGTGGCTGGTTAACTAATCAAACTCTAGTGAAACATCAACTGAAGACTTAATGGACTGACTCCACCTTCAGATGAACCCCCATCTAGGCTTCCGGAAGTCAACCTAGCAAGGTAGCAGTACTGAGCAACTACTTTAACAATCTATGATCTCAGAGCTGCTTTAGCTACAACTTGCACCTGGGAGGAGGGTGGTCCATTCTCTTTTCCATTTATTAAAAACAAGGTCCTTCATATATATATATATATATATATGAATTAGTGCTGAAACAACTTGGGAAGTTCTACTACAAAACTTTAAATTTTTTCATTTTCATCATTAAATATTACAGGTATGAGAATTTTGCTATGCTTTAAAAAATGTTCAACTTGATAAAAATTCTAGGCAAAAGAAACACACAAAATGTGAACGCTAATATTAATGACCTGAAAACCCTAATTTGTATGTTAACAATGGATCAACCTGTAGATTTCTTTTAAGTGACACTTAAAGTGATCACTTTTAAGTGACAATTCACTAAAGGTATCAAAAGTAAATAAGTCAAAATCATCTAAGCAGTCATTACGAATTAACAAGTAAATATAGAATACTTTTCAAATGTCTAAAAAAAAGGAAAAAAAGATTAAATCTCTCTCTCCTCCTTAAGATGTAAAAGGCTTAGGTCTATCTGAACCATTTTTTTACACTAAACTTGTGACCTTTGGGCTTCCCAGGTAGCTCAGCTGGTAAAAAATCTGCCTGCAGTGTGGGAGATCTGGGTTTGATCCCTGGGTTGGGAATATTCTCTGGAGAAGGAAACGGCTACCCACTCCAGTATTTTAGCCTGGAGAATGGACTGTATAGTCCATGGGGTGGCAAAGACTCAGACACGACTGAGTGACTTTCACTTTCACTTTTTAGGGCAAGAGGTCAGTTTTCAAAATTTAGTAGGGAAAAAAAACTTGAGAGAACCCTGGAAGAGGGAAAGTAAGTATTTCCCAAGGAGAGGAGAAAATTGTTTTCAGTCAAATTTCTAAATTTCCTTTGAAAGTTACAATGAAACAACATGGCTTCTACACTGCCAGATGATACTGTATAATCTTTATAATATAAACTTTTAAAGTTTTGTTTGGGAATTAACATAAAAATATAACTCATTGGGATACTGTGTTATCATGACATTTCCTTTTCCAACCAATGTTCTTCTATATTATCCAAGAAAAAAAATATATATATTTAGAGCTTTGACTAGCAAGACAGTAACTTTAGGAGCATTTGAAATATGCTGTTTCCCAAGTCTGGATGTGGTATTTAGACTTTTTTTCCTTAGATAGAAAGGATGTCATAAATCTGCTTTCAGTGTGTTTAAAAGTAATTTTTATAATCTTTAGGACTACAAAAAAAAGCACCAATATTACAGTGACAAGCTATTTTTAGATAATGAAAATTTGGGGGATATTTTTCCCTGCTTCTTACAGTAAAATGTCTTAAAGTGAGCATGTACTTAGTATAATTAGGAAGTATTAATTTTTCAAAAATCTATTTTTTGAAATAACAGTTACATTTAGAAACTCCAGGGATGTGAGGTCTTTCTTATCAAGAAGAGATTAATTTTAAATTCAAACCATTCAACAACATGCATTTCTTTTCACCTCCTGTAAATCTCGTCAAGAATTCCTATTAAAAAAGATAAAAAATATATCAACAGCAGTGGGACAGTGACTGGTGCATCTGGGCAACAGCTAAAAGTCAAAATCATCCATTACTTTTTGAATCTTCCCACCTTCCTTGCTACAAGTTTAAACTCCATCACAAAATGCTGGGAATTGGGAATCATTAACTATCTGAAGCAAGTGCATCAGAGGGCTGACAATTACACTTCTGGGCCTCCATTCTCGTGATATCATCTATAACAGAAGAAACTCTAGTACAAACAAGTACCTTTTAGAGGAAAAATACAAATCCATCTCCACCTTCTTTTGATCATTCAAGTGCTAAGCATCATGTAAGGATCATTACAACCCTTACGTCTTAATCAAAGGCTGAATCTCTCCTACCCCCTTAGCACTTTAGGGACCATTCTAGCTTTTTTTTTTAAAGTAGGAGACAAAATTAGAATGAAGACAATTTCTAAACTTGCCACTTCATTTCTTCTAAAAAGGGATGAATATATAAAATATAGGGAGAGAAGGTAACATTTAACCATAGGCATAACTCATTTAAACATAGTTACATCATTTCCTGTTTCATATGAGAAAGCAGGAAATACAAGAAAAAAAAACACTAAAAATTAAATTTGACTTCTTGATAAAATTAGAGAAAAAAAAATGTTATGCTGTTGATCCTAATATAGCACAATATTTTAGTTTGGCAACATTTTTTTTTAACCACTAATGACTATGAAATGAATATATTTAAGAGGAGACCTAAAATAAACATGCCAAATATTGTATACTATGCTTCTGCTTCTATATACTTTAAAGAGTAGATGTTTTGTGTTATCATTGCTATTTTTTGAAAACAGCTAATAAATGTTTTATTTTACATGAAAAAAAAAATACAACCAGAATCAAATTCCTTTCTTAATTCTTGCTTAATAAGAAATGTTTATGGGGTCGCAAAGAGTCGGACATGACTGAGCGACTGAACTGAACTGATTATAGGAATATCAAGATTCATCTTAGGATAATTTCTAAAAGTACCACAGATTAGGAAAAATATGGCACAAGCTACAAACAGGGATATTTCCCTATTAAAACAAATATGTGAAGACTGTAATTGGTCTTACTGTTAACTAATTTGTTATAACAGAAAATTTAGATACTCAAAGCTGGAACAGATTACATAAAAACTGTAGAAATACTATTCTTGGTAAGTATTTTAAGGGGACTAAATTAAAGCAGCATTTATAATATCCCATTTGGGGATTCCTGAAGAATGTTACTGAAGTCATAACATAGCTAGGACTAAAATTAACATAATAAAGTGACAGATTACACAAGTAAAGGCAGACATTCCCATTTGGTCTAAGCGTGATTTTTCCCCTTCCAAATAAGGGAGAAAGAAGGGAAAACAGTTCATTTATTTGAATATTTACTGTTAAAATAACATTTATTTAAATATTTATTTACTATTTAAATGATTGGTACTTAATGTTGTTAATGTTGTTAACTCATGTTAACAACAACATGAGCAGATGGGAAGTAAAATGGAAAATAAAATTTAAGCTACAGGAAATGAACTTAATATACTTCTTTAATTACAACACAAAGTTTATTTAATAGTGGAGCTCACTAGTGACACAAGAGTCAACATTTCTCTCTCTAGGTCACTGTAATAGTCAAGTATGAGCAAGATAAAATAAAGCATTTAACAAATCAAAGTTAAATCAGAATCTGTATGTAAAATGTCTTGAATAAAAAGTTCTATATAAATTAAAACATGTTAATAACAAAACACTGAAGTGGCCATAGGAATAATATCATATAAAGGTTTATCATAAAGATTAAAAAGAAGAAGAAAAAACTAAAAACATTTGCCTGCTAAGGCAAGTACTTCTCGATTACAGATGTTAAAATAAGAACTGCAGTTATGTACCTTACCCACACCAAGACTCAGGTACAGGGGACATTACTACACGATGGTAAGACACACTTTTGAACATTATATAAATACATGGGCACATGAGGCAAAAATGGCACTTTTTAACTCTCCCTAAAGTAACTATGTCGGACATAAACACCTTTAAGTTGCTTTACTTTATGTAAAAAAAACAAAACCAAACAAAAATCACAAGACAAAACCAAAAAACCTAAACTCAAAGTAAAAATTTTACAGTCAAAATAAATAAATAAAATACAGGCATAAATATACTGAAACTGCTTTCAAAATCTTAAGAACATGAATCTTTCCATACAAATCGCTGCATTAGTGTAATTTATTTAAAGATTACTTTTTAAATGAACATAACAATATAATAACACTGAATATCCTCAGGAGAGAGGATATGTTTGATTATTTCTAGAAATACTCCATTCTTTTAATATTTTTAAGTTGAAATAATGTCTGCATATATAACTCAACTCTGTAGGTAAATCCTGCTATTGTCTTTCTCTTGAATGCAGCTTTTCATAATATCCAGTATCCAACCCAGTCATAAGATTTGATGGATCCTATACTTAAAGTAGTACTGTAGAACAGTATCAAATCTTTTCTCTGTACCTACAGAGAAAGATTAATCCAGACTTCCTAGGTGATTCTCTTCAGAAAAGGCTTTCACTGTGATCAATTCTCATATCAGAGTATAGGATTAGTATACTAACCTTTAAGAAAACAAATATTGGGAAATGGGGCTCAATTCTGTAGGCCAGCACCATGAAGGAAGACAGGCTTTAACATCAGTCAAAGGAAAGCCTGCTCAGAAACTATGTTAGAACTATAGATCATAATTCTAAATAAATATGAGACAGCTATGGAAAATACTTTTTAATAAAAACTTTAAGTTGTCTGCTGCAAAGAGCTATTATTGAACATTATAAGCTTTTGTTCTGACTCATTCACAAACTTGGTTCTACAATTACAGATGTGCTACATGCATGTCCAGCACTGCCTGTATGGAACCCAGTACTTCTGTTTATGAAATGACTGTGCTGTGCTGTGCAGGCTGAAGGGAAGGCTGACATTATCCTACTGGCACCCTACTGTACATTTTCAAATCACATTGGGTATGTAATCCTTACTTTAATTCAAACTGCAAAGTCTTAATCAATCTTTAACTATATTATTCTCATATCTGAATGATACTTGCACATTTTTCGAGTTAAATATGTTCTCTATGTTTGAATACTCGGAACTGTTTTTAAAGATGTATGTTTCACTGGGGCCCAACTCTCTTATAGTAGTTAACTTAGATAAAAAAGCTATGGATACTCAACACAGAGGGCTCAGCCAAGAAGAAACAAATTGTAGACCAAACTTAAACCACACTATCAGTCCTGTAGACAGTTTATCTTAAAAGGAAAACAAATCTACAACACTGAATTGCAACATACAATTTGCCCTTAAGTAATTCAAACACAAGAAAATCCAAGTTTATAGTGCTTCCAATTTGCCCATGGGTATTCATAGTACAAAAAGTTTTCTGCCATACAATTCAACCAAGCATTCTTACAAATAATTGCATTTAAAACTGCACACATATATATATCTATATATTAAGTCTTTCTTTTGTATAAATAGATATATTTAAAGTCAGGGTTTATAGCATTCAGTGGCACATCTCTTAAGTAAGTTAGGGTACACTGAAAGTTAAGCATATCATGAATATTTTCAGTACCTGACAATTATCAACTAGAGAGTAATCAGGGAAACCAGGAACACAGCAGTTTATGTTTGTGATAAAGAGTTACTGGCTGATACAGCAGAATGAACCCAGCTGCAGGAATGCTGAAGCAGAGGCACCCAGAGACCAGCTGACCCGTTCAAGCCTGCCGTCACCACCGTTCATTTACTGCTGGGAGGGCATCACATGCGGTTTAGGACCCAAAATGCACACAGACTCAGTGCATCACATCCACAAGTACCAGTCAGAGTTCACGGGCACCAACACTGCACGGTAAACACAAGACCCCTTTCTCGATCCACTTCTAAAGGAAGGGGAGAACTATGGTAGTCACCTTTCATGACAAATTAAATAATCATTAACAACAATAACTGCTTATCTTTAATATACCTTGCACTGCTAGAAGCTGCTCCTCTGTGGTCCAACGGGCATTAATTTTCTGATTTGACTACAAAATTAAAGAGAAGTTTCCTAATGAGGATATGAAGACAGACATTTTTCCAAAGTGCTTATTTTTTAAAAACTTTTCACCAAATCATAGATAAGAGATTACTAAAACTCTGATTTATGAGGATTTCATTTTTATAAGACTTAAAAAATGTATTTTAAATTACCTTTTACCAATACAAAAAAATAATGAAAGGGAAATGTACCAATTTGGGAGAAAGAAAAACATTCGCACTTACACCCTAGTCAGAGATATCAAAACTGAGAAAATCTATTAATCACTCATTTTCCAACTACAATGTTCCTATCATGCACTGCACATGTTAATTTTAGCCTAGTTTTAACATTTAAGAGACTTTGTTTTCTTTATAGAAGGATCTGTGACTCTCAAATTTCTTTTCTTCATATGTAGACTAAACCTATTCTTACTCCATCAAAAATAGTGTTGTATAAATTAATGTAAAACTGTAGATAAGGCCTGTGCCCTAAATTAATATTTCTTTAAATTTCTAAAGCAGAGAGTGACTGAGTATAAGAATAGATTTTCCCCCAACACTTCCTACATTCATCCTAGTATTTTTGTTTAAAAAATTTCTCAGTTTAAGATTTTGACCATGGCAGTATTACAGTATTAAACATCTAACCAAATTTCACTAGTGTACACCCACTTCTTAGTAATCAAGAACCTTTGGCAGTAGATGGAGGGACAGAAATAAGCATTCCAGCCTACAGGTTTATAGTAGAAACTGCCCAGATAAAATGGCCAATGTAATACACACACATGCTGGGCAAAATACAAAGTAGGGTTTCCTCTAAGAAGGGGTGTTGAGGTCTTATCTCAGCTGTAGTCTTAGCAATAAGAATCTCCAAAGTACACAGAAGTTCTGGGTAATATCAACTTTCTCACCACGAGTGAAGACATATAAACAAGCATTTGGAAGAAAGAATGAAACATAAATTCCAAAAAAGTTATGAAAGAAGAAAAAAAAAAAGACCTTGAGGAAAGGAGGGAAAAATAAAAAATACAAATCACTGAGTTCCAAGTGATAAGATTTAAAAAGGACAGCAAGGCAGGCCAGGCAACGTGGACAAGCCTCCAGGTTAGGATACTTGTGAGGAGACAAAGGAATAACAAGAAACAGGCAGAGAGAAAGAGGGGAAACAGGACATACAGGAGTAGTAAGGGTGAACCAAGGCTAATAGAGTGGAAAGAAAAAGTTTCAGAAAAACAGGGAAAACCAGCAATTTTAAACATATGGTCTCCCAAGAGGAATAAGAAGAAGGGAGTAGGAGGTAATATCTGAGTTAATACCTAGGCAATGTGATGCTACCTTGGCCGTGAAAGGTAGACAGAAGAGGTCCTTAGTACCCAACAATAACTGATATTGGAACCTATTTAAAACAGGTCCAAATATTTCAGGGTAAATGGTTAAAAATAAAAGGCTGAATGTAACTTAATCTGAAATATGAAACTAAAACTTAGGAAAATCAGTTCATTAAAAGATAGTTACTGATTCCGCTTACAAGCTTTAATTTTATTTCTTGGCATACCTTTTCTGATTATACAGTGGTATAACACTCTCTAGCTTTGAAATTTACAGCATGAGTGCAGAATATAGCTCATTTTTCTTCTGAAGATGTCAATGATTTTCTCAAATTTCTCTTCTCTTTATTGCTATCCTTTTTTTCCCCATCATTAATTCTGTTACATACCCATCTGTCAACAATTTTGCAAGTGACTAAAGCCATTCTGTACCTTCAGAGACTTCAGGAAGTTTCACATCTCTTGCAAGGCTTACAATTTCATTTTGTATTTGCACTGTATTAGTAAGAGAATAACAGAGGAAGGTGTTGCTGTCATGGATGGAAAGGATAACAGCTAGAGTTAATTAGGAAGAATTAGTGAGGAGAACTAACTTTATAAGTGCTCAATTCACTAGTGAATACTTTCTTGTTTGGCAACCTTTGCTTCTCCATCTATCCCTTAGATTAATGAGCATTTGGATACTGAACATCTCTTGTGATACTACTGCAAGTGGTTCTTAGGATTAAAGTCAGCATATATGTGGAATATAGAGAAGGACATATGTAACCTGGTGGCTCTAGTAAGGAATCCACCCGCCAATGCAGGAGATGGGGGTTCGATTCCTGGGTCAAGAAGATCCCCTGGAGAAGGAAATGGCAACCTGTCCAATATTCTTGCCTAGGAAATCCCATGGACAGAGAAGACTGGCAGGCTACAGTCTATGGGGTCGAAAAGACTTGGACATGACTTAGTGACTAAACGACAACAACAACAAACAATAACAAAAACATCAAGCACAGTGCCTGAGCAAACATAAATTAAAGTTGATCAATCAATGTTTGTTAAACCTGAAAGGCAGAAAATGGAGGAAAAGGTATCATTAATGAAAAGGGAACAAAAAGTAAAAAAGAAATAACAAGCCCAATGATGACTTATTTTTGGCTTATAAGCAAATCAGGAGATGGGATAAACACAAGTAACTATTATTGAAAACAGTATACTGGGGATTCAAAGATGAGAGGGAAAAGTCAAAATGATTACAGTGGGGAAAAAGGAAAGTTGAAGGGACTGGAGTCAGAGATGGATTTAAGAACATAAGTTCCTAAAAGGCAAAAATGAGGAGAAAGCATATCAAGTTCAGGGAACAAGAGGATTTTTGTTAGGAAGCAGTGACAAATAAGCCTGGAAGGTTGGTGATACTTAACTAAACCAAAATACGGTGAGGTCCAGTTCTGCAAGGGCTGAAAACACCAAGGCTGACGAGTTCATACTAGATTTAATATGCAATCTGGGGGAAGCAGGGAGCAAACAGAGAAGGGTAGGATTATGAGCAAAATAAGATTTTAAGCCTAGAAAGCTGGGAGAAGGGTGATACTTTTCAGGACTTAGGATGTGGGAGATGTGGGAAGGCAATGCTAAGAGGAGGAATTTAACTTGGGATACACTGAAAATAAGGTATTAGGCAGGAGGCTAAAAGATTCATCTATTCAAATAGATGAATTTTTAAGGTGTTTGGAAAATGCTTATGAGGGAAAACAATGGAATCAGCTTACTCAGATGAAAGGTTCTAAAATCAGACTCAATTTTTTAAAGTTTTTTTTCTTCCAAAATTACTCTTGAAATGTTCTTACAAAGGCAGCCATGGAGATAGGCAGTCTCACAGAAAATCCACGCTGGCAGTTATTCCTCCCGTACTGGAAAGGGCCACTAGTTTCTCAGTTATACCCCAGATGAAGCCTTTGGCTCGAATTTAGAACAGTAGTAAAGGAAAAATATAAATACTTATGTAAATACTAGAACATCGTTCAGTTCAAGGAAATGTTCAGAAGGCATGTGAAAGCTAAAACTGACTAAAGGAATGCTAGATTCACAGTTCCCAGCTTGTAACTACTCACTCTGGGTCATACACTCAATAAATGGAGTTCAGGCAGAATTGCCAGCACTGCTGCACTTGCTGTTACTAAACATATTCTCTCTTTTTTATTTGGTTGAATTTAAGTCATCTAAATGTATATATGATATGACTTTAATACAGCAAAGTGATGAGGTTGTATCAGATTTCCAAAACAGAAGAGAAATGCATCCTGAGGATAAAAACTTAAGAGAATGTCTTTATTTACATAGAGTAAGAAAAATTATAGCTGAGAAGGGAAAATAATAGTTATAAACATAAAAGTTAAAGTAAGAAGGAGGTCATCATTATGTGAAAGGCTCAGAAATAGGCAAGGGAAATGAATTAGAGCTGTGGAATTTGGTCATTAAGACCAATGTTAACGTTTAAGAAGATGCTTCAGTGGAAAAATGCAGAGGAGGACTTGAAACTGTATGGAATTAAACAGTCTATGTGCTACGAAATGGAAACAGTGGGAGAGAGGAAAGGCTGTAGGAGTAGGAGGGTCAACATTTTAAAAACATAGAGGATTCCTTTAAGTTACTGATTTTTATATTTCAGAGCTAAGAAAGTTTGGTAGAGATGTGCTTAACTTAAGGAAAGGACAACAAGACTATATCCAGGAATCTAAAATCCTATGGTAGTTATAGCTAGCTATGAGGTACCTGAAACTGAAAACATTCTTTTTCTTAAAAATAATAGAACAGCAATGTAAAACAATCCAGTATATAATATCAACAATAATGTGAAAGACCCCAAAGAGCCGTCTAGAACAATCTACAGCATCCTTGGCGAGTTCAGCATCTTTACTGCATCCTTTCCCTGGCTAAATTTCTTCACATCTTTCCCATTTTTGTCAGTAGTAGTTTCATACTACCTCTGACCTGGAAGAGTTAAAAAAGGTTACCAGGCTACCCAACATTGAAAATTCAACCCAACATCCATAGAGAAAGGATCTCACACACCTATGCAAGAAAATATTCATAGATTTGGAAACTTCTAGCTTCAAAAAGCACCCCTTTCTCAGATTCTTCCTTCTGGGTTCATGGATCTCCTTGCCCCTTACCTAAACTTCACCCAAAACAAATCAAAGCACAATCAAACATACCACCACTCCTTGTAACACCCTCATATACTTTCAAGGAGAAACATAAACATCTACTTTGCAAATGTTCTCTAGGTTTATCACTTGCTCTCCATTCCTACAACTAATACCTGATACTACCCAATACCTCTTTACCACTTATTTTATCTCTCACATACCTAGTATTTCAGCAGCTCTAAAGTTGCTGATTTATCTTATGTAACATGGCCAGGATAACTTTCCTAAAACACAAATTTCTCATTACATCCTTCCTAAATTGAAAAAACTGTATGATCTCTTCATTTGCCTTAATTTAAAAGGCAAACTTCTCTTCTTACTTTCACAAAAGCTTTTCCTAGCTCTCACAGTGGTCTTGCCCACTGGTTTATAAAACAGAGAAGTCCCTGTTAAACTCACCCTTATCAACACCTCTCATACATCCTGTGCATTCATCCTTTGTAGCTAAGTGTACCTTCCCAAGTAGACAACATGCTTCCTCAGAAAACAGTGTAACAGTATAACTTCCTAGTGATTAGCACAATAATGAGCACATAATACACACTCAGGGAATATCCAGTGTTTTTAATTTTCCCCTCTGGATTTATATTTGAATGCACTGCTCAACATCAAACCACTGTTCACATTATTCCTTCCACCTGCCCTTTTAGTGTATGCAAAAATCCTACTCACCCTTCAGCTGAAACGTCCCCCCGCCCCGCTCTAGGAAACTTCAGCTGAAAGTTCCTGCTTTAGGAAGTGCTCTCTGATTACCCTACCTGAACAACAGCCACTTCTTTTATTAATATCTTCACTTATAAATCTATAAATTTAATCAGTTTGTCTTCTAACATCTAGACTATAAATTCTTTTTTAAAAAGTAAATGGAAAAATCTATCCTTCCTCTTTTTAAGGCGTTGCCTCTGTCCCCCCTCACACAGTGCCTAATACAGTGCCTTATAAAAAACAAGAGATCAACAAATACTTAGGTAAGTGAATTAACTTTCTTCACCACTTTTTCCCTAAATGAAAATAACAAATACAACCAAATGAATAAGTAAAGCATCTTAGTAACTGCTTAGCTCCAGTTGAGTTACATCATTTAGTAGCTTGTTTTTTAAAAGGTTAATATAATTCTTTTAGTAGGTATTAGGGAGAACTTTTCTAGGATAGGTATCAGCTAACCTAAAGGTAAGAGGATAGGGTACATGATTTTTCAAGGTTTTTACTATAACTGTTAATCTAGTGTTTTGAAATATATCTATTCAGGTTGTTCTCCCCTATAAAGCAATAGGAACAATATGATACATACAAATATATCCTGGGCATTTTCTAGATGATAAAACATATATACATTTTTCAAGTGCATGTGAGTTCAAAATCAACCTCAAAGTAATATACAAACTTCAATGTATGAACTGCAGTGCATTAAGGTTTTGGTCATTTTGATCATTATTTTTACAAGAAACCAAGAGATGTAATAAATGGTAACTTCTAACCAATAACTACATTTATATGTGGGAATCTAACATACACTTTTACTATTATATGAAAACTTCCAAAAGAGGCAGCATCGAATTAATCTAGGACTCCAACTGGACTCTAAGAATCTAAAACACAGCCAGAGGATCACTATTTACTATGATGTGTGATCTTGATCAAGTCAGTTATTCTCTCTGAGGCCCAGCTCCCTCATGCAAAATAATAGTATTTACTTCATCTACTTCTTGGACTTAAGTCAGCATCAAGAGGCAGCATACAGGAAAGTTATAAATGCTATTATACCTTCACATCTTTATATAATGCTAATAAATGAGACTATTCTGCAATTTTCTGAAAAATTTGAGATTATAATTTTATTTCCTTGAAAATCTGGTAGACTTTTTCTATAAAGTTGTCTTGGCCTGCTGTTTTCTTATGAGAAAAATGTTCACTGTTTCTTCAATTATTTAATGGTTACACATTATTCAGTTTTCGTTCTTTTTAAGACAATTTTGGTAAACCATATATTCCTAGAAATTTCTAAGTTTTGTGTAAATTTTCAAACTTATTGGCATAAAATTCTTCAAGCTATTCCAATAAGGTTTTCAATATCTGCTATACTCTTTAATTTTTAAGTTATAAACTCACAGTAATATACAAACATTTTAAGTTTTTTGCTTTTATGCATTTTATAACGGTTGGATGCCGTCACTGATTCAATGGCCATGATACTGAGCAAACTCAGGGAGAGAGTGAAGGACAGGGAAGCCTGGCATGCTGCAGTTCACGGGGTCGAAAAGAGCTGGACACAACTTAATGACTGAACAACAACAATGTATAATTAATTAAATATTAAATTAATTTCAATACAAAATTTAAAATAAATTTTTTGATGTAATAATTTAACATAAAATAAAGCAGTACTCTTTGTATTACACTATCTTTATTTAAATCACTAGACTGTCAGTTTACCTCTGGGTTTGCAATGAGATATTAGTCTACATATATTTCATTCTTTTCCACTGCCTAACCTTCTTGAAAGAGACTATTCAAAACAAACAAAAACAACTTCCTTCATAATGATTCTTCCTTCCTAGAAGATTCTAGAGAGTAAGATGGCATATGGAATACTACTTTTCTGCCCGCCACCCTGCCTATACATAATTCATTTGTAGATATTTCAATCTGCTATCTGGAGGGAAAAAAATCCCATTAGGACCAAATAGGATTATTTGATTATTACAGACATAGAAAAGTAAGGCCAGGATAATAAGCATAACATAGGAATCTTAAAAAAAAAGAGAAAGAGAAAAGATTTTATAATAGAAGCTTCCATAAAAAGGTACGATTGAACAATAAGCATTTAAGTACACCCGTAGACATCACCAATATAAAAAAACATATTAAGTTTTAGCAGAAGTACAAGTAAGACTTGAGAAAATGGCCAATCTATATCTCGTATTTGGATTTCATATTTTCCAGGATATAAGTCCCACACTAAAATCCTAACTGGAAATCTAAGCCAATAAACAAATATCCAAAACTAAAGTAAAATTTTGTTAAAACTGTTAAAATGAGCTCCTTGTGATCTTTTTCTTCCTGTTACCAATTTACACAGGTAGGAAACAGCTTTGAACAAACATTGCTATAGACCCCAAAATGCACTTCTTCATCAATGACCTTCCAGTTTCACATGCACTGGGCCTACTACTATAGCTATTTTCTTTGCTTGATAGCAAGTGCTAAAGACAGTAACGGAATGATTTAACTCAAATCATTAGCCAAGTCTCAGGAGACTACCTATCTAAATAATAAAAGAAACATAATAAATTATCTATATAATAAAACCTTCAAGGTGCACATGTAACCAAAATATAGTAGTTGAATACTGAATAACTCAAAGAACAAGGTTTTACCACACTTAGTCACGTATACTCTTCAATAACATACCTCAGGAGGTTTGAATTCTTCAATTCCACCTTCCATTTTCTGTTTAAGTGCACTGTTTACTTGCTTAGCATTCTGAACCTTCAACAAAATAACCAAAATTATGAATCAGATCATGTACCTAGGTGAATTTTTGAGTATTAATAAGTGAAAAGGATATATATTAAAAACCCTGTTACCCCAGGGGATAGAACACTTAGGCACTTAGGGTGGAATATACCACTCATTCAAGTAGCATACACATCAACTATATACATACCTAACAGACTAACTGGCACAGTTCATAAGAAATCATTTAATTCTCACAACTGCTCTGTGAAGTAAGTACCATCAGTTCTGTTATAACCTGACATATGCATTCTCAAAAGCCACAGTACTATGCAAACTGCACAGTAAAACCACAGGGCTTATGGGGAAAAGAACTTGAGACACAGCACTAAAAAACTTCATCAATGACACACAGCACAGTTCTAAACAGGAAAGAAATTCACAAGTGATACAATAAAGACAATGCTTTACCTTAAAAGGTTGCTTATATAAGTGGTGTCAAAATAAATACAACTTGTGAATTGTTGGGAAGTGGTAGAACGGTTATTTGAAATCAGATGAAGTTTTAACACCAGATGTGGGTGTTTATGGCAAATAACACAATATATGCCCACAGAGTTCAAATGTGACCTGTGTGGGCATATACTCAGCTAGGTATAGTTAGTTTTTCACTAACAAAAATCACATGTGAGCAAATGCAAAAAATCACATTATGTTCAAATTGTCCCCATGTATATCAATGATGCTGGAACAGATTCATGCTTTCAAAACAAGCACAGAGCAAAACTGGACTTTGATTTAAACAGCAGAAATGAAGGAGTGGTGGTGGTACACAAGACGGGTCAAAGAAATAACTTGGGAACAAAATTAAGACATCTTTGTAAACAACTGATTGTGGAGAATTAGGGAGAAGGAGGAATCAAGGATAATTCTTTCATCACTGGCTTGAGTAACTGAGTATACATGGTGTTATTCAACCAGACAGGGAGTGCAAAAAGGGGACCAGATTACTCGTGGACATGGAAATCAGTCTGGACACTGCTTATGAGATGTTTGGGATAATAAATGGTAGAATTTGTAAATCTAAGAATGCAAATCTTCACTATGTTACACATCAAATGAATATCCAAGAAAGGAACTTAAAGCTTTTTTTTTTTTTTTTTAACTTAAAGTTTTTAAAAAGTTCTTTCACAAGAATCAACAAAGGACTTTCCTGGTGGTCCAGTGGCTAAGAATCCAGAGGACACAGGTTCAATTCCTGGTCCAGGAAGAGTCCATGTGCCATAGAGCAACTAAGCCTGTGAGTCACAACTACTGAAGCCTGTGCTTGGCAAGGAGAGAAACCACTACAGTAAGAAGTCTGCGCACCAGAATGAACAGTAACCCCTGCTCACAGCAACCAGAGAAAGCCTTCATGCAGCCCGGAGACTCAGCACAGCCAAAATCAATAAAAATAGCTTATAAGTGAAGTAACAGTGGAGTAGTAATACTGATAACTAACTATGATTACAGGTGGCTAAGAACATTTTATTCATTATTTTAAAAAATTCTGAGCACTTTAAAAATATCACAGGCAAAGTGTTTTAGAAGTTCTCTAAAGAGAAGGGGTACTGTAGGTTGGAAGATGGGAGTCTTACAGACTTTTATGGTTTGACTAAAGGCAAAGCATTCAATCAAATACATACTATATATAATTGAGAATCCGGCATCAAAAGTCAAAAGAAAGGAATTCTAAGGAGGAGGAGGTGGCTTTCAAAAGAGATAAGACCCAAGAAGAGAGTACTCGACTAGGCAACTTGTTCACAAACAATCTTAAGACAGCTTATTCAGTGGCAGAACTGGGATGGGATGTGGGACAGAAACTAGATTGGGAAGCCTCTGAAAATAAGTGGTAAGAAAGCAGAGGAAGCCAATGTGGTAGATTTTGATATTTATTCTGGAAGTTTGCTGGAGAAGAAAACAGAAATATAAAAGCAGTTCAGGTAAGTAACCAGGGTCAAGGGGTAGAGAAATCTGAATGTTTAGGATAGAGAAAAACCATCTCAGTCCCATACTACCCTGTTGCAAAGTTCTTAGATTATATGGAAGTGGTATAATATTAACTCTAATGGTGCATACTGTGATATCTAAATAAGGATGACACTGTAAGCTAAGGATGCATGGTATAATCCCTAAAGCAACTACAAAAAAAAAAAAAAGAAGAAGAAGACATATAGCTGAAAAATATAAATATGACCATGTTACACTTCTTTTAAATCCTTCAGTGGTTTCCTCACTCATGATAAATTTTAAATTTAACATGCCCTTCCTATAAATTTCTGTCTAGCTCTGCAAATAACCTGCTAAAGGCAAGTAGGAATTAATGAAGCATTTTAAAATGAGTGATCTTGATTACACTAGTATTTTAAAAGAATAACATTGATAAAATGTGTAACAAGGGACTGAGAAGAGGTAGACAGCAAGGAGAGTGAACATGACAGCTACAGTCAGAAAAGAGGTGGTAAGTGCCATAACAAGGGTAGTAGGGATGAGATTAAAAAGCTGGGGATTGATTTAAAGGAAATTTCAGAGATAAAATAATCTACTGCTTGAGTTTGTGTGTGCTGAGAGAGTAATATAGGCAAGGGATGAGTAAAAGATAAATTCAGATGTTTCAACAAACAAGGAACAGAAAAATAAAAATCTTTTGGGGGTTAGATGAGATGTCTACCAGGTAGTTGGAAATATGGAGCTTTGGAGAAAAGCCACAGCTTAGGAAGTAAACTCAGAAGTCACTGGCAAGGTTGGTTAATTTATACCAAGAAGTCCAGACTTAAAACAACAAAAGAAATAAATAAAGGAAAAGCCAGAGAAAGACTGAAGACCTAATAACAACCATTCATGAGTACGTATTATGCAAGGCACTAATGTTTTAAGCATTTACCCTATAATACCCTTGTTTAATTCCTCCCAACCAAAATACTATTATCCTCATTTTAAGACAAAGAAATTGAAGTTGAGAGAAGTTAAACAGCTCCCCTAGGGTTGTGCAGGAAGTAGACAGTGTATCTAGGTTTGGAACTTAGGATCACTGACTCTAAAACCTTATCCACTACCTGATTATGCTAATGAAACTTTTAAATAATACTGCTGTTAATGATGACAATCCATATGTATTATTTCAAATAATTCTCAACAATCTGAAAGAGAAGATTATTATCTCCAATTTTATAAATAAAAAATGGAAGCTTCAGTTCAGTTCAGTTGCTCAGTCGTGTCCGACTCTTTGCGACCCCATGAACCACAGCACACCAGGCCTCCCTGTCCATCACCAACTCCCATGTCATCGAGTCGGTGATGCCATCCAACCATCTCATCCTGTCGTCCCCCTCTCCTCCTGCCCCCAATCCCTCCCAGCATCAGGGTCTTTTCCAATGAGTCAGCTCTTCGCATCAGGTGGCCAAAGTATTGGAGTTTCAGCTTCACCATCAGCCCTTCCAGTGAACACCCAACACTGATCTCCTTTAGGATGGGCTGGTTGGATCTCCTTGCAGTCCAAGGGACGCTCAAGAGTCTTCTCAAACACCACAGTTCAAAAGCATCAATTCTTCAGTGCTCAGCTTTCTTCACAGTCCAATTCTCACATCCATACATGACTACTTGAAAAACCATAGCCTTGACTAGACGGACCTTTGTTGGCAAAGTAATGTCTCTGCTTTTTAATATGCTATCTAGGTTGGTCATAAATTTCCTTCCAGGGAGTAAGCGTCTTTTAATTGCATGGCTGCATTCACCATCTGCAGTGATTTTGGAACCCAAAAAAATAAAGTCAGCCACTGTTTCCCCATCTATTTGCCAGGAAGTGATGGGACCAGATGCCATGATCTTAGTTTTCTGAATGTTGAGCTTTAAGCCAGCTTTTTCACTCTCCTCTTTCACTTTCATCAAGAGGCTCTTTAGTTCTTCTTCACTTTCTGCCATTAAGGGCGGTGTCATCTGCATATCCTATTATTTCCCAACATCACAGAGCTAACAGGTAGCAATGCTGGGATTCAAATCTAAAATACTCAGTGGCACCTTATAATTTGAAAACAAGGTAAATAAGAAAGATAAAACTTATGTAACTGAGTGGTTGAGATAATCTGTAAAAAAACTGAGTTTACAGGGATAAAGTAAATAAGCAAAATGGACAGGATCATCAAAAATAATGATTTTTATAAAATACCTGACGTTTTAAAGAGATCAACTCCATGTCCAGTTGCCTCAGGATGGTGTTGGCTGCATTGGGGCTACAGGAAACAGCTACCACATCTTCTTGGGTTAAATACATGCCCTTAGGTGGACGGCACTTAGAACGCTGAGAATGATGGCGGTGTTGTAAACTCTGATATTCTCTCCTCCCAAGTCCAATCTTGCTAGTTTGGACAGGCTGGTCAGTATTACCCTGGAAGAAAAAAGAATAAAGGGTCATTTGGGTTTGCATACAGGTATAAGTTGAAAACAGTCTATTACTAATAGAAGTATCTGTTACATTAAGTGCACCTACTAAATACTTCTAGCCAATTATACTACATATGAGTCCAAACACACACACACAGACACACACACACACACATAACAACTATCAATTAGGGGGAAATGAGCATACAACATAACATATGTTTCATTAATCCACTCAAAAAATGTTAGGTTTCTATGCCCAGAAGACTATGAACAATGAAAAAATAAGGTGGGTTTTACATTATTTTAGTTTGCTTCACGATTTCAAGATGGGATATATTTTCTCTCAGCAATTAAGGGGGAGCAGGGGTAAGCTACAACTTACTAAGTGCGAAGTTTTAAAGAAAGTAAAAAAGGGCAAGTTAGGAATCATGACAATTGGTAGATCAGCCAACTGGTAAAAAAACAGATAACATTTTATTCTCACTTCGGAGCTGTTGAAAGAGAACTATGCCTCTAAAAATTAAAAAGAGCACAAGATTATTTTAATACTAACAACATTTCTAAACTCCAAGTCTATTTACCTGTGAATAAAATAACATTGAAATTTTCACTTTGGAAGAGGTTTAAAAAGCTCTAACAATGATCACCATGAACTCTTAAGTAGGGTTTCATTACTATATCTGAAATATTCTTAAAAAGTGTGATGTAAAAATACAATGTTATTCTGTGCTTCCAAGATAGGAATCCATTAGAAACTGTGTCCCATTAGGCTGAAGACAATATACTGAACAGATTTAATAATTCAATTCATTAGAAAAGGAACTCTGAGTAAAAGTCATAATATAATTATATAGTACCCAGTACTGTAATTCACTCTGTTCCTTAAAACTCAATTCAAAGCAACACATGACAGATTTGATGTTCAGGGAAAATCCTCCCAGTATAGCACTCCTAAAATTGCTAGATCAAGTATTTTTTTAAAATCTTTTAAAATTCATTTCTAAGCTGGCAGAGAAGTACAGACCAGAAATGATGAGAAAGCAGGAATCTAGAGAGAGAAGCAAGGATGCAGGAGCTGACACTTGCCTAAAGGACAGTGGACAACAGGTGAAGAGCACAAGAATGAAAGCCAGAACTCTGGAAGGGGAGGGGCCTCCAACATCGTGCAAAGTAGGAAAACTGACCCTGCCCTGCAAAGGGAGGATGATTTAAAGAAAGACAAGACCACTTCAACCTTGGCTGAAAGGAAAGCAAAGAAACCAAAAAGAGTCTTTCCTGAGAATCCCTAGCCACAGGCCTATATTCAGACAGGTTTGGAGACTAAATTTATATCAACTGTCTGGCCTGAAAAACCCCAAATCAAAAATTTACTTTAGAGTATCTCAGGTTGGAAGGGCTTTCAGTTAGCAGAAGTAAATGCAAGCTGGCTTTAGAAAAATGCACTGTAAATGCAGGTCTTGAAAATTTTCAACAAACATGTTCCAAGGAAAATAAGCTCACAACTACAAACTGCCAAACAAGTCTCCCGAGGAAAACACTGCAGAAGGCAAACAACAGAACTGTATCTGAAAAGATCACAAATGTTACAATTACTGGATAAAGAAAATACAATAAAGATGTTATACACGTACAAAGAAAGAAATAATTGAAAATATGGAATATTCTTATAAGAAATAAGTCCATCAAAACTGACCAAGCAGACAGGCAAAAAAACCAAATAGAACATCTGGAAATAAAAAATATTATAAATCAGATTAGAAATTCAATGGATGGGTTCCTTAGCAGACTAGACAGAGCTCAAAAGACAATTAGTGACTCTGAATGCACCTATGAGAAAAATGCCCAAAACATAGCATGGAAGTATGGAAAGACGTGGAATACATGAGTGGTTAAGAGACATGTGAAACGTCCATTACATGTCTGAAAGAATTCTCAAAACAAAGAATAGAGAGAATGAAGGAGACTTTAGATTCAAAGACTCAACAAATAAGAATTTCACAGAATTTAAGATAAGATTTAGAAAGTACAAGGAAATCCAAAATTTCAAAAAAAAAGAAATCCAAAGCCATATACTTCAAATGAAACTATGGAACACTAAAGACAAAGAAGAGATCATAAAAGTAGGAAAAGAGAAAAGTTAAATTACTTCCAAAGAAGGGTGTGGAGAAGAAAACCCTCTTGCACTGTTGGTAGGAATGTAAAATGACATGACATTATGGAGATGCCTTAAAAAACTAGGAACAGAACTACCATATGACCCAACAATCCCACTAATCGGCATATAACCTAAAAAAACCATAACTGAAAAGAGATATTGCAGCACCATTGAAATTAGCTAGGAAGCAATCCAGATGTCCATTGACAGATGAACGGATAAAGAAGCTGTGGTACATACATACAATGGAATATTACTTGGCCATAAAAAGAAAACATTTGAGTCAGCCCTAATGAGGTAGATGAACCTAAAGCCTGTTTTACAGTCAAGTAAGTCAGAAAGAGAAAAACAAATATTGTACATTAACATATATACACATATACAGAATCCAGAAAGATGGTACTGATGAGCCTATTTGCAGAGCAGCAATGGAGACGCAGACAAACAGAACAGACTTGTGCACACAGTGCGGAAAGAGAGAGTGAGATGAATTGAGAGTAGCATGGAAACACATAAATCACCATATGTAAAACAGCCAGACAGAAGAAACTTGCTGTATGATGCAAGAAGCTCAAACCAGGTGCTCTGTAACAACGTAGAGGGGTGGGATGGGGTAGGAGATGGGACGGAGATTCAAGGGGGAGGAGACATATTTATACCTATGGCTGATTCATGTTGATGTATGGCAGAAACCAATACAATATTGTAAATCAATCAAAAAATTTTTTTAAATTACCTCCAAAGGAATGATAATTAGCCTGACAGCAGACTTCTCTAAAGCAATGATAGAAATCAGAAAGCTGCAGAATAATATCTTCAAATAATATCGGTCAACCTAAGAGTCTAATCCCAGCAAAACTAAGGGTTTAAGAAATAGGCATTTTGGACATTCCAAAACTGACTGTGTTCATAATCAATAGACTGTCATTAAATTAATCTGTAAAAGATACAGTTAGGAAAAAAGAAAAATTATTTTCAAAGAAAGTTCTAAGATTCAAGAATGAAAGGTAAGCAAAATTAATTTTAAGTATTAAAAATTGGGTAAATTTCTTGTTAGCTTAGTAAATCTAACATTGACTATATGTCTAATGTGATATATTAAAAAAATAAGATGTAACTAAAACTGGAAAAAAAATAGCACATAAAACAAGAAAGTAGTGGCTAAAGTCAAAGCATCTTAAAGGTCTTAAATTAACCAGAAACTCATTCAAAGCACCAAAATTAGATTTTAAAAGTTAAATATGCAGGATAAAATTTCCAGAGTATACAGTAACAACAGAAATATAGAAACATTCCAAATTAGTAGAGAGTAAAATAAGAAAAAAATCAAACGAGATGAATTCTTGATCCAAAAAGAAAGTCACAAACAGAAGATAAAAATAAGAAATAACAAAAATACAAATATTAATCATGACCAGTATAAAGGGGCTAAACTCTCTAGATAAAAAATACCACATATCTGTTCCTGTAACACACGTACTTAAAATACGAGGACACAGAAATGTTGAAAGTAAGGAATAATGATATACCGGTCAAACACAACAAAAGAAAGATGACAGAGCTATCAGTTCAGTTCAGTCACTCAGTCATGCCCAACTCTTTGCGACCCCATGGACTGTAGTAGGCCAGGCTTCCCTGTCCATCACCAACTACTCCTGGAGCTTGCTCAAACTCATGTCCATCGAGTTGGTGATGTCATCCAACCATCTCATCCTCTGTCATCCCCTTCTCCTCCTGCCCCCAATCTTTCCCAGCATCAGGGTCTTTTCTAATGAGTAAGTTCTTCGCATCAGGTGGCCAAAGTATTGGAGCTTTAGCTTCAGCATTTGTCCTTCGAATGGATATTCAAGGACTGATTTCCTTTAGGATTGACTACTTTGATCTTGCAGTCCAAGGGACTCTCAAGAGTCTTCTCCAACACCACAGTTCAAAAGCATCAATTCTTTGGTGCTCAGCTTTCTTTATGGTCCAACTCTCACTTTCATACATGACTACTGGAAAAACCATAGCTTTGACTATATGGACCTTTGTTGGCAAAGTAATGTCTCTGCTTTTTAATATGCTGTCTAGGTTGGTCATAACTAGTGACTAAACCACCACCTAGGTTGGTCATAGTTTTTCTTCCAAGGAGCAAGTGTCTTTTAATTTCACGGCTGCAGTCACTATCACCAATGATTCTGGAACCCAAGAAAATAAAGTCTGTCACTGTTTCCATTGTTTTCTCATCTATTTGCCATTAAGTGATGGGACCGGATGCCAAGATCTTCATTTTTCGAATGTTGAGTTTTAAGCCAGTTTTTCGCTCTCTTTCACTTTCATCAAGAGGCTCTTTAGTTCTTTGTCGCCTTCTGCCGTAAGGGTGGTGTCATCTGCATATCCAAGGTTATTGATATTTCTCCCGCCAATTTTGATTCCAGCTTGTGCTTCATCCAGCTCAGCATTTTGCATGATGTACTCTGCATATAAGTTAAATAAGCAGGGTGACAATATACAGCCTTGACATACTCCTTTACCAATTTGGAACCAGTCCATTGTTCCATGTTTGATTCTAACTGTTTCTTCTTGATCTGCATACAGATTTCTCAGGAGGCAGATAGAGCTATACCAGACAAATAATCTTCAAAAGCAGAAGACATCAAAAGAGGTGAAAGGATCATCATATATAGATAAAAGTTTCAAATTCAACAAAACAGTTTCTACACATCTAATAAATAATAGCTTCAAAATACAGTTATTTTTCAATAATCCATCAGATAAGCACATAAACACCAACAAAACCAATACTAGCAAGCAGGCAAGCAGTAACAGAATGTTGATTTCAATCATACTAACTGACAAGCTTAAAT